ATCAAGACCCAATGATAGGGAGTTTAGAAACCAATGGGCCTCTTCACCATAGGGGCGTGACTAACCATCCCCACCCAGTCCTCAAACAGGCCACGCTCAGCCTTTTAGCGCAGAGCAACTTCCCGGAGTCTTCACGGAGACTTCAGGGTTGTCTACCGCTGACGAAGCTTCTGTGAGAGAAGCGAAACGTCTTTTTTTTGTTTTTTACCCACAGGTACAGATGACGACTGACAGAACCCTTTCTACGATTTTTTAAATGTCATAGCTATATATTACAATGCCTGGTAAAATCCGTCTTGCGCTAGCTTTTATATGTCAAACTTGAAAAATGAAAATGACTCAAAAATCTGATCGGCTAGATCAAAATTAATGAAAATAAGACATTTGCCAATGTCTGCTTTTACTTTGGAAAACAATAATCGAGAATCTTGCTGAATTTATGGCAGATGTTACGGACGAAACCAGGAAGTGAATCCATTTATTTTTTGGTGAATTTTCTGCAGTGACGTTATGAAACAGTGTCCCTATTTTGAAAAGAGGAGTGGAAGTTGAACATTTTTTGGGAGAAAATCTGATTCGCAGGTTATGTTCCACACTACCCCCCCCCGCAGTTAGTTAAAATTTTGTAGAGGTGACATTTGCATCGGCTCAGAGGTGCAGCTGATGCAAAAGATGAAGTGGTTTACTGACACTTAGAGTGGATCATTTGAATAATTGATGGCCTTCACAGCAACGTGCAGTACACACCTGGAAAAAAAATAAAATAACCAGACCCGAGCGGGTCAAAATACAATGCATCACACTTGTGTGCACCTTGTTCTCTTTCGGGAGGCTGCGCAACGATGTGCTTTGATGCATTACTGCCAGTAGTCCAACATTTGTCTCTTTTTTACGGTCGTAGCCCCACCGCCGTGACTACACATGACGGGATGCGGCGGCGTTATCTCGCAAGGTAGCGGAATTGCATTGATTGATGCGCTAACTTTGCCAGCCTGGGGAACCAAGTCCGTGTCAGTGGAAATTATGTTGCAGTATTGACAAAAAAATGTCATTAGTTTTCTTGTTGTTAAGCACTCCCAATGCCAAGCTCACATTCTCCCTACTTACTTCTGGTTTCGATTTGTGATGCAGCCCGTTCAGGCTGCGTGTTTTTTTTCCCTCTGCCGGTTGCTAGCAACTAAATTTTTTTTGATCAGAACATTAGCATGATTAAAATTCTTCATGCAGCGTACCTCCGCCACATGGACTGCTTAATCCTTTTAGTTTAATGCTAATAAACATTGCTTCATGACGTCGACGGATGAGCATCGGTGTAATAATCTCTTACGTGACTGATATTTGAACAAAAACAGCGCTGCCACACATAAAACAGAAAATATATTCTTTATCATCTGCGAAAAACGAACATTACCGCAGCTCATGTAAGAGTTGTGATCGTCTCCATATACTGCATATCGTTAAGTTTGTATTACGAGCATGGTTATGCAAATAATTCTTTATGAGGGCACTGCTTTTTTTTTTTTTTAATTGCTGGTGTC